TTATCTTTGACGACCGTGTTAAGTGGAGTGAGACGCTGATAACAAGAATTTACAGGTAATCAGCAGACGCATCGTTCACATACACTGGATATGAAAATGAAGATCCCAAACGGCGGGTCTGGAAACGGGACTTATTACGGACAAGAGACAGGCATCACTTCCTATATGGACAACAACAGCGACACGGAGGCTGAAGTGCAAGCGATAGGCGATGGCGACTTCTCGGAGTACCTCTGGATGGAAAATGAAGAGGAGTTTGACAAGCAGGTACCTTATTTATAGATATAAAGCTTCTCACAGTTATTCGTTATTCCACACTCAACGTTTCTATTGGCATCAGGTGCTCCAACAACTGGAAGAGGAAGAATTGATGGAGGAATGCTTAGAAGCGATGCTGGAAGAAGAGAGGCAACATCAAAGAAATATGAGCTCTACTGCTTGGTCCACGGCTACTGGCACTCCCGACAATAATGCTGCTGAACTTTGTCAACAACTAAGCAGTCTGAGGATGCAAGACGATCTCGCCAAGCAGGTACCTGAAGAAATGTTTATCTTCTTTCAAATCTATTCTACATTGTGTTTTTGCCTTCTGTTTCTTGTTTTTTACTATTTTTTACTTGTTCAATTTCTTTGTTTTCTGTTGTCCAATAAAAACTTGACAAACTTTGGAAAAGACGAGAAACACAATTGTCAATAAAACAACCGCAAAGAGGAAAAAAGCAAGAAATAGAAAACAAAGAGTACATTATGCTTTAATGAGAGAAAGAGAGAGAAAGAGAGAGCAATATTCTTTATTTAAATCTTTTAACTAACAATTGCCGCTTGTACATGTAAATTTCCAGAGCACGCTAAATCCAGATGCAGCTGAATTTATTCCAGCATGCAAATCGACTGTGGTACCACCTGTAAGTACATCATCAGAAACCACAGTCACTACAGAACCATCGTAGAAATCTTCTGTGTGTTTTCTCTCTTGTCCGTTCTCTATTTAAGTCACGTATAAAATCGGGCTACACGTAATAATTAGAATTTACTATTTCCAATCCGACAGTCGTATTAAACGGATCATCGTGTTAGGTGTTCAATGACTGTGACTGTAGGTACAAAGATAAAGAGAGAGATAAAGGGCGCGAGTTGTGCATGTAATTATGCGCGTCATCCGAAGCATCAGTTACACAATTAGATGGAATGAACGCGGTATCCCGAAACTTTTATAGACAAGAAACACGTTCACGTGTATCATGCGGGACAATTATGTATATTTTTTTTGCCAAAATACTAAAGAACGATCGCTTTTACAAATCACTCGTTAAAACAAATTTGCAATTTGCATCTCTTGTTCGATGCCATCTATATTGAGAATCGTTTCTCGCAGAGGCACATGTTTTTAGCATTTTCAATCTTTGTATAATTTGTATAAATTGAAATCAATCATGTACGTCTATGAAAATAATCCACTGTTCAAGTTAAACTGAATAGAGGGAACAAAATGCACTGCATGGTTTAAGGAAAGGACTTTCATAAGTTTATGAAATATGTATATGAACAGGAATATAGATATACATATATTATTCTGTAAATTATGTTCATATCTTATATATAATATATATGTATATATATATTATATATTATATATTTAAGTTATATATATATATATATATACTATATATAATATACATAAATATGTATGTGTCTCAATCAGATCTTATCATTCTTGAAACGTATGTAAACCATTTTACCTTTTACAATATTTACTCTTCATCAAGCTGTAAAACCTTTCATGCGCGCGCACACACTAATAAAACTTTTTACAGCCTGAGAGAACGTTTTACAGCTTGGTGTTCTATCTGTCCAATAAAAACTTTTCTTAAGAGTTCCTTTTGTAATACTTATAATAGAGAATGATGAGATGTTTACAGAATCATTAGCAGGACATACCTCGCACAATGCGAGATATTATGTACGAATCATATAGAGTATGATAAGAAGACTCACAATAACATCATATATTATTTTTTACTAGATTTTGTATAGATGAATTGGCAACAAAATAATCGTGAAAATGTAATCAGAAAACTCAAAGTTATATTATTTGTACAAATATACCGTCTTACTTGAAAATTTGCGCAAGATGACTCTACAGGAACACTTGTCGAGTCCTCCTTCAGCAATCATTTAACAAACTTAAGATCTCAAGTGAAAGTCTTATTTAGGCTGTGAGGGACTCTTTTTATGACTCATTTTTAGTGACGCTGAAAATCAGGACACACTGCTTACTTATTTTTTAAACCGATTACTATATTTCCACGAGTTAATATTTCGAAATTTTAGACGATCGTAGATTGTA